CTTTTAACAACAGCAGTGATAGCCTGATAACTGCTCAAGAGTGACTAAGAAGAATTGTAAATGCTTGCTTTCCTCAAATGGTATTTAAAAAACGCTTACTGATTGCAAATCTGAAATACTAAAAAGAAAAAGATAATAGAGAAACAGCTGTTCCTTTTGCCAAGTGAATCCATAATAAATTTTAATTTGAGGCTGTAGGTTATGAAGTCAAAAGATTCCTGTAGAAAGGCTTAATGTTTATAGTTATAATCTCGTGAGCTAAAAACTGTCTAATAACTTAATGGCTGAGTATGTTTTACTTTAATGTTGTTTATGCAGAGACCGAAGCATGGTGGAATTCTTGATCCTTCTGGACAGAAGTTTAGTGAGAAAAGTGACTGAAATTTATTAGTAAAGGGAAAAAATAATTTTAATCTTAAAATTCCACCTGCCATTGTCATGAATGATCAAGACTCAGCTATTTCCAAGAATGAAAAGAACCAGAACTGAAAGAAATCAAAAGCTATAATTGAAAAACCACAGCCTTACATACTTTCCACTGATGGCATTTAAAATTTATACAAATGGATTTATTTGATCTATATATACATAATGTTGGAGTTAGGAAAAAAGTACTATATATATTTATAGAATACAAAAATCATACTCAGATTTGCAAGATAGCAAATAGCCCTTAGTAAATCATCACACTTTCAGAAGTAGCAAGGGTACAGCTTAATTTCTTTACCAGTTTTGTCCATTCTTATGACTCTGTTATACTGTTGTTAGAGCGAGAAGGCTAAGATTTGTGTAAGGATCCAGTGAGTTCAAGGAAAGAGAATTTTTAGGGTCCAGGATATTGGTGGTGTTCTACAATTAGTCTGTCAAAAAATTATGTCTCTGATTGAAAACTATTTCTGAGTGAATGATTGGGAAGTTGACTAGCTGCCAATGAAGAGACTGTTCTCTCGTTATCAGATAACCATTGGAACTTGTCTGTTAGATTAAAATTTCTTCATGAATCACACCATGTCTTTTACTTTTCATGTATCATCTAAACCACCCATTAAAATGTTACACAGAGATATATGCTCAAGGAATAATTAGTGATGGGAGCAGGAACTGAATCAAGGGTGAATGTGGTCAGGGTAAAGTGAGCTATTACTTCACCCATTACTCAAGTGGTATTTACCAGAGGGAATCACTTATGTTGTCACTGAAGAACAGACTCTTGTCACCTAACACTTCTGTCTTAAAGAGAACCAAACTCTGTGTTGATCAACCTCTTATTAATTTCTATTAGCCACTAAGAATGTGAGCATAGGTACTGCCTGATGGATGGTATCAGGAGAAAAGGTTTTTCTGTCTCTGAGGAAGCACCAATTTATGAACTCACTAACTTTAAAAAGTATATTAAATGTTAGCCTTACCTAGATTTTTAAAATGTTAGTCTACTCTGATATTACTTAAATGCATTTTACTTTTAAACACTGGAATGAGGTAGAAAATAAGGAACTCACAAAAAGGAAGTAATCTCAACACACTGAAGCCTATTCAATAGTTATCCCCAAGAGAAAAGAAAAGTTACGGCTTTAAGTTGGTAGATTATTAGCTACTGTTAAAACATCATCGGAAATAAATTCCTCGTATTTGAAATTGCCTGTTTTCCATTGTGAGGTACTAAACAAAAATACACAATCTGAAATATTCATAAAGATAAAACAGCTTCTCTCAGCCGTCATTCTTCACCATTTTGTTCCAAACTGCCTCAGTTGCAACACTGGTTCTTTCCACTAAATAACTGATCAGGTATCAATAAAGGTCTAAAATCCTTCCAGTATGAGAAGCAAGATATAAAGAATGTTTCACACCTAAAACAATGTAATTTACTCCTCATAAAATCTAACAGCATTTCGTTTTATCAGGGCATACATATTTGGCTTTGTTGATTAGTAAGGAACACAGAAAATGTATAGAGGTCCAAAAAGTCTCTTTCATACGAGGAATATGAGACTACAAGAAAAATTTTAAATAATTAACTGTATTCCAATTTGGAGTATCGTTGTGTGAAACTACTGGATGTCAGTGGTTCTCTTTCTTTCTTTTAACTTTAAACTTCATTGTCAGGCAGGGTCCTTTAGTGTTTGAAAACACAAAAAACACACCCTACCAGAGCTCTATGATTTGAACTCCAATTGTGCGACTTATTCATACCTGACTGGATTTTATTTATTAAGCCAATTCTACAAAGCTGTTGTATTTTAATGGCAAAATTAAACCATTCACCTTTATTATGTTAAATGATCCGTACACCTTTGTTCCTTTTATTTATCCTTATTTCCATCTCTATCTTTTTTTTTTCTTAATTTGGCACTGGGGATCGAACTCAGGACCTTGTGCTTTCGAGGCAAGCAGCACAACCACTGAGCTAAATCTCCGGCCCTCCATCTCTACCAGCTATGTCTGTGCTTTCTTAACCTCTCTCTGTTGTGGATTCCCATCTGTAAAGTAGGATCAACAGTTATATCTATCTCATATGTGATTATTAAATGAGTTGATGTGCATGAAGTTCCAGAAATGTGTTTGGCTTAGAATAAGCAATATATGTGTTAAGTGTAATTTGTATTCTATATTAACATGTTGCTTTGTCTTTTTCCTCCCTTTTGCATACTTGTGTTGACTTTCCTGTCTTTTTCCTCCCATTTGCATACTTTTGTTGACTTTCCTCATTAAATTGGAAGTTCTCCTGGACATTTCTGTTTTTCTTTGGTACTGTGCCTATTTTTAGTTATTATCTCACACACACACACACACACACACACACACACACACACCCCTTTTCCACTAAGATTTATGTAACATTCAAGTTTCCTCCTCCCCCACTGAAACTTTCCAAGCAGATATGCCAGTCTGCACTGTCACCAACAGTGTATGAAAGGTTCAGGTGCTCCACCTTATATCAGCACAACTATTTTTGTCAATCTTTTTTTCATTTTAGCAATTGTGGAAGGTATAAAATCATGTATCTTTTTTTTTCTTTTTTTAGTACCAGTGATCGAACTTGGGACCTTCCTCTTGCAAGGCAGGCACCAGAACCACTGAGCTAAATCCCCAGCCCTGTTTCATTGTTTTTCACTTGTATTGCCCTCATTACCAAAAGTTTTAGAGCACCTTTTTATATACTTGCTACCTTTGGAGTTTTGTGTTTGTGCAATAAGGAGAGTCCTTGTTTGTTGTGTCTTTTGCAAAAGAAACTTTTGAGTGGCATAGTTCCAGTTGTCTGTTTTTGCTCCTACTCTTTTTTTGCCTTCTCTTTTGGTATCATACCCAGGAATTCATTGCCAAATCTACATGAAGCTTTTCCCTATGTTTTTTTCTAGGAATTTTATAGCTTGGGTCTTACTTTTAAGTCTTTAATCCATTTTGAGTAATTTATTATGTTAGGTGGTATTGGAAACCTTGTTGCATATCATTTGATCATATACATGAGGGTTTATTTCTGGGCTCCTTATTCTATTCCTCTGGTCTGTGCATCTGCTATGAATATTTTTACTTGAATGTTTGTATGGACATATGTTTTCCTTCTGTTAGATACATATGTAGGTGTGGAATTGCAGTGTCTCAGAGTAGATGCAAATCTAACTTAGAAACTGCCAGAAAGCTTTTCAAGGAGATTATATCAATACTTGATTTTATCAGTTTTTAAAATTGTAGCCTTCCTAATAGACAGAACCAATGTTTTGTCTCCTGGTTGAATTATTGAGACACTTAAAGTAACTGAAATTCTATCATCAGATATGTGTTCATATTTTTTGTCTCTTTCCACTAAAGTGTAAGCTTTATGAGGTGTCATTTGCTTCTTACTTTGTAAATGTTTACTGACATATGGTGAACCTTTTAGAACTTTCAATGATAATAAACAGCCAGCTGCAGCACACGTGCCATAGGTTCACCATTACTGGATTAGGTACTCAATAAATGTTTGTTTTGAATAAATGAAATGGATGAGAAAATAAATCAAACTGAATATTTTCCTTTTTCCTGATAACTCAGAAATCTTTCTTAGAAGCAAAGGATTACATTTATATTTAAAACAAAATAGATTATTTTAATAATAAAATATACAGTTATATATTTAGGTCTGATAAATTTTGTTGTTTGTTTTTATAAAAATTATTTTGTTTATAAACTACCCAGGGCCTTTTATTTCATGTGACCCCTTTGATCTATTTTTAATTGAAAATACTACCACCAAAAAGTTGGTAGAAAAATGAGCAGAAAAAGAAGAAGGCAGAGAAGAGAGAAAGAAAGTGAAGGAAAAGGAACTAGGAAGGCACCCAAGCTGCCTGATTATTAGTCAATTATTAGTCAATAATTTAAATGCATACATTTCTGTGCATAGTACTTAAAGGTAGTTACTGTAATAATGTACAATATTCAGTAATTTTGTATATAAAATAATCAGGTGCTTTTTATTATCAAGTATTATAAAATGTACATCAGCATTTGAATTTCTGGTTTTAATTTACCATCTATTGTGACATCACTTAATTTTTGTTACTCTTGGGACTTTTCACACATTGCATAACAAAAGTACATTTTGTTCTATGTTTAATGAAGTTTCAGTCTACAAAATGTGATTGCTCTGCAGTGAGACTAAATATCATTGGTGATTTAAGAACCCAGTTTACCTACTGAGAAAAATAGTAGAAATTTATTGATTACCAACTGGTTATTTTTTTTTAATAGTCAGACTCTTTAAAGTAGGATTTAGATGCAGTCTTTTTTAGTGTGGTCTATGAAAATGTAAACATTTTGCAAACTATTCATTACTATGAATTTTAGTACTCATGATAATGTGGCACAATATTATTTTAAATAATAATTTCTGTTTGCCCTTTTATTGTTTTATATCGGAAGCAGATGTGTAAATATTAAATGTTTCAGTTACTGTGTTTTGTGCAATATTTTTAGTCACATTCAACTTAATGACTTTCCATTGTACTCTTTTTTCCTCTCAGAAAATCAAATAAAGAAAACTACTTTACACTTGCACAACTACAGCAACACAAATGAAGATCTTAACATAAAGAAGGAAATGGTTTTGGGGTACTCTTCAAAAAATAGGTCTTTGGAAGATGAAAGAAGTCAATTACATTCCAGGAATAAACGTTTCTTATCATACCCAAGATATGTGGAAGTCATGGTGACTGCTGATGCTAAAATGGTTCATCATCATGGACAGAATTTGCAGCACTATGTCCTGACCCTAATGTCAATCGTAAGTAAACTTAACCTGACTTGTGTATGTCCTAACATGTTTGCACATATAAATGGACAGTTTTCACATATAAATGGACAAATATCAAGAATTCTCTTTTGTTTCTTGGGCAGCTTTCTAAAACACTTGAAAATCTGCAAAACCACTAGTAGAAAATGCTTGAGTTATTCTTTATTTCATCACACGCTTGGCTTCTGCCCTCTAGTGACAGGGAATGTCCTTTGTCACATTATCTTTGAACCTTAACTTTGAAACCTCATCCCATTTCTGCACCGAGAGGAAGGCGGTACTGTTTTGCTACTGCTACATCCAGTAGCAAAATCAGAAATTTGGATGCATTATATTTTAAGTTACAAATACATTTGTGGGATGGGCTACTACTAGTAGAGCCATCTTAGCAAATTTGGGATATAAGATAGCAGTAGCTGTCTTTGGTCTGATGTTAATATCTCTGTCAAACATTGGTGGCACCAGAATAGTTTTAGTGCAGGTGAAGAGCACCAGTTCTATGTTTTGACAGCACCTTATAGCATATATGTGCACATGCATTTATACAGATAAACACATACTTTATCATACCATCAGGGATATTCCTGAGTTTACTTAGGCCTGTTGTTTTGGAGTACTTAAAAAGCACCTCCTTTTATGCTCACAGTTCTCTTGGATTAGTTGACAAATTATATGGTTACCTCTATATGCAGATTCAGAGTATTTGGAACATACAGTATGTCCTGGAAGTACCTTACATAGAGGGAATTCAGGCCCACTTGGTTGTAAATATTTGGCCATGACACATCTGTAGGACATTGTCAGTTTCCCTGAGCTAGAAATTTCCAGTTAAGTTCATTGTGACTTGAAGATCCTAAGTCAGTCCTGTCATTTTCCTTACTTTTGGCATTTTGTCTTAAATTTTTATGTTTATACTATGTTTTATGTTGCCTAAATGCAGTATCTGGTACAAACTGGGCATTCGATAAACAGTTACTGAAAGAAAGAATAAGTAGTTAAAATAAAAATGATATACTTTTTCTAACCATAGCACATTGCAATAAACAAAAATCAAAGCTAATCCAAAATGATTTTCTGAAATTGTATAATACAGACACTTATTTTATCTATTTGAATTGAATTTTTAAAGTGACACAGAAATATGGATAGAAATTTATCCTGATGAGGGATAAACTTTCAGTTGAAAATGGTTAATTTTAATTTTTAATTGCAATTTTAATTGCAAAATTTTTCCTAGTATTCCATATAATTGATGCAATTTCCTACATTTGAGCCAGGTGTGGCAGTGCATGCCTGTAATCTGAGAACTCAGGAAGCCTGATGCAGGAGGGTCGCAAGTTCAAGCCTAACATCGACAACTTAGCAAGTTAGTGAGACTGTGTCAAAAAAAAAAAAACAACATTTTTGAAGAGCTGGGGATTAAGTTCAGTGTGAAGGCTCTGGGTTTATTCCCCAGTACTGCAGGAAAAATAAGAGAGAAAAGAGGAGAGTGAGGAGAGGGAGGGAGGGAGAGAGAGAGAAAGAGAGAAGGAGAGAGAAGAATTGATTTATTACAAATATTGGATGGAGAGAACACTCAAGGAAAATATTAGATTTTATAAATGCAAAGGATTTTGAATCATGGTGAATGAGAGGTAACTGATGCTGTACTTCGGAAATACTAACTAGAAGAGGTAATGTAATATAAGAATAATTTAAGAATAGCTACATAGAATTTTGAAATAGATATTTCAATATCTATGTATATTTGTGGTGATATCACTACCCTCAGAGAAGTTTTATCTCTATTTTGCATAAAAACTGTTAGAAGATATTGTTCCACAGCTTGAGAGAACTGAAGTTGGCTATGGGAGTTTTAAAGCCGTGTCCATCAAAGGCAAAGCAAACTTTTTGATTTCAGGGAAAGATGACTGTGTCTGATTTTGCTTGAAACAACAAACCAATGCTTATCTATGTCATTTCCTAGATTTTTAGTTCCACTGAAAGGAGAGCAGGTTTCAATTGAAGAGGATAAGTTTGTGGCTGCAGTCTGCTGGTTTGGATTAAGCTTTGATTCATGAGGAGAGAGATGCAGCAGGGTTGAGGAAGAGGGGAGAATTCCAAATATAGATGGAGTAAGAAGAAAAATTTAGAAGTGTGAATCTTTTTAGAGGTACTTTGGGCTTTTTTGTGTGCTGTCTGTTCTCCTCAGAGGCCAAATTCCAGATGATTTCTGAATACCTGACATTGGTGCTTTTTGTTCATTCTTTTTCTCCTTTAAATGAGAAAGTATTCAAAGAGGATACAGGGAAGTCAACAGATTGTAAAGCTCTGTGTACATACTGTTGTTTTATTGGTAAAAACAGTGATATTAATGTGGAAGGAAACTTAGAAAAAGTGACAAGCACTTTCTGTTTTGCATGGGACTTTCTTAGTTTTAGTATTAAAAGTCTCACATTTTTGAAAAACTCTTGATCCTGAGCAAATTGGGACAGTTATATTTCAATTTCCAAAATTGCTCCAAAGAGGTAAAAGAAATGCTGTCCCCACATAAGTGTCCACAGATGTTTTCACTTGAAGAAGGAACCATTTAGATTTTGCGTATTTTCTTCTTAACCTTTTAGACGCCACCAATTACATCATTGAAACACACACACTTGGACTTTTGGTAATATTCTGATCATAATAATTAGGGAAAGTGACAAAATTTGATTTAGACTTGGAATATGATAGTAAGTTATTTAAAATTCAAACTGATGAGAAAGTTTGTGTGCATTGAACTCTACATGTAATGGGGAAAATAACGGAATTGAGCAAATAGATGTTTGTCTAACATTATCTGTTCTGCAGAAAATAAACAAGTATGTTATCTTCTTAAACTGTTTGCTTTTAAGAATTTAACAAACTGAGTGGAAAGGTACAGAAATGAGTATAATTTAATTAACTTTTTAGGCTTCTGTATTATGTTGCAGATACAGCTTAGTGATATCTATTATTCAGTAGGTCTCTGAAATTAACATTAATGAGCAAGAACACAATTGTGATGTGGCATAAAATGAAATAAGTTTGCTAAATGAGCAGAGATACTCCATCATCTGCTGTTATAAAGCTTTTATCCTTAAGAGAATTTTGGCACCAGCATTAGGTTAAAATAGCATTTGTATATGCATTGTTAAATGACATAAATATATATAAACTAGAGTAATTATTTTCTTCAGCATGTTATATTTGATATTTGATGACATACTATTTATTTAACCTTAATTATGATATCGTTGGAGAACACTCTCCATTCTGTTTACAAAGGTTTATTTTGTAATATTCCACCTGTCACAGACTTAATAATGTAAATTTTTTTTCCAGTACCTGGGAACAAACTTAGGACCTTGTGCTTGCAAGGCAGGTGCGGTGCCACTGAGCTAAATCCCCGGCCCTTTAATAATGTAAATTTAAGGAGTATAATTTGATCCTCAAGAAGTAGTGCCATTTATTAAAGCATAATTACCATTATTAGAGGGATTCTTTAAGTACAAACCTTCATTGTATTGCATTGGCTTTATACCATTGCTTTCAATTCCTTGGGCTGCTTTTACTAATATTATTTAGGATGAGGAAAATTTCAAACACATTAAGATAAAGACTCACATTATACTTTCATACATATAGATATAACTATTTATGGTACTTTTTCCTTGCTTCCACTTGATACCCTGCTTATTCTTTTATATATTATATATATATATATATATATGCCCTGCTATATCCTTTGCACATATTTTATACATATGCAGAATGTCATTGTTTTCAATTTAAAAGGAAAAAGAGCTTTATGAACAAGTAAAGAGTAGTGCTCTTTGTAAACAAAATTTCTTTATTTTGTTAGAGTCAGTTTTTTAGAGATGACTTTTCACCTCTTAATGAAGGTCATCTATACCTGTGCCAGATGTGATCATTTGGTTTAACTCTATATAGAAGTTATTTTCAAATGATTGGAAAGTCAGTGGTGATGGTAATTTGTTTCATGTTTTGCATGAAATATATTTAACCTGGAACTTTGCCTAAAGATTTAAAAAATATTAGTCATACCACTTCTTCTTTACCTTTTACTAATTATTCATGAAGTAGCATTGACTGTTTTTTGAAACTTGTAAAGAAGTAAGAACTATTTATGCTAGGGAAATAAAAATTTAAGGAATAAAAAATTAAATACATTTAATTAGTTTAATGAAAAATTCAAATGCGTAATGCTCTAAAATGTAGTGATTATAATAATATATAATATATGGCTTGTAGAACAAAATAATACATTAGAATCGTCTCACATTTAGTATAGTATTTCTTAACGTATAGTCTACAGGTGGAATATTGGCCCTACGACCTGCTTTATGGAGGGGTAGTACAGATGATTGTGACCAAATAGTTGCATGAAATGCTACAAATAATACCTGTTTCATAAATCCTTCACATCTCTTTCCCAACATCATCTGCTTAGTATCAATCCCATGCACAAGGGCACTGTGAGCAGGGAAATCAGTGTCTCAGTGTGTCTGCAGATATTAAGACAGAAGAAGCAAATCCATTCCCCAGGTTGAGCAACTGGTGCATAACCAACAATGGATCTAGGACTCAAATCCAAGTCTCTTGACTGCATAGAACTTCTCTGAGGCTGTGGTCGAGTCACCACCTGCAGGACAACATCAGAGAAGGGAATGAGTTGCAGACGGTTTTGAAATAGTTTTTGTAGCAAGTGATAATGGGGAAGGACTTGAAGCAAAATGCTGAAATTTTGTTAGATAGCATAACGTAGTCAGAGCTCTAAAACCAGACTGCTAGGATGGGAATTGGGTTCTGTTACTTACTAACTGCCTCACCTTCAGTGTATTAACTTCTCTGTAACTTAGTTTTCTTATCTATAAAATAGACACAATAATAGTTCAAATCTCATATGACTTGTAAGAATTAAGTGAATTAATACATTTAAACTTACAATACATTTGGCACATAGTTATAATTTAATAAATATTTTATCCATTTGCTATTTATTACTTATTATTTATCTATTATCAATAACAAACTAAGACATTCCATCTAGACATTCTAATATGGGATGTTGGTTTTAGGTATGAAAGAAATGTATATGATGATTCTAAAATCCTCTGAGAACCAGATGGGTCTTGAACACAATTCAGTGTTACAGAGTTATTGAGCACTTATTCACAGCAACTTTAAACATCTAAATGTAGAAAAGGGTTAAACCCATTATATATAAGCACAGAGAGTACAAAGATCAATAATTAAATCAACAGACAGTGCATACAGTTAAAGTGAGCATGATGACTTTTTTTTTTACCATGCTGGAGATCGAACATAGGGCTTTGCCTGTGGTAGGCAAGTGCTGAGCTACATCTCTAGCCTCTGACATTCTCAATTCCATAATGAAACGTATCATTTTAGTAGAAAAAAATATCAGTGTGAGGGACTTTGGAGGAGGTAGTGAAGTTATTTAAATCAAATCCACTGTTTTCATGTTTTACTCTAGGAGATTGTAAGTTAAGGAAAAAGATCATGCTTTACTCATCTCTGTATCTAGTAAGCAACATAGTATTTGATAGGCAGTAGTCAACAAATACTAAAATAAATAATGAAACAGCAACTCTTTTGGGAGCTTTGCTTTCAATTTGGGTATGCTGTCATAACTAATTTAAGATATGTGCACTAGAACTAGAATGTCATGGATTGCATAACAGTGGGAGTTCATTCTGAGAAATATGTCATTGTGGAATTTTGTCCTATGCATACATCAAAATGTGTCCTTACACAAAGCTAGATGATATAGGCTCTATGGTATATAGGTACCTATTGCTCCTAAGATCACGATGAACAAAACAGCGTAAGATTAAACCATATGCTGTTTACACCAGCATCAGCACAAATATGTAAGCATGTGTTGTGCTACATTATGATGGCTGAGTGTCAATAGGTAATAGAAATTGTTCAGCTCCACCTAATCTATAGGACCACTTTGTGTATATATGAAATCTAGCATTGACTGAAAAGTCATTGTGTGGTGCATGACTTTATATAACATATGCCTTTTCTTCTGAAAAAGTTTTTAAGTAGTGGTAGTAATAATAATAGCTATCCTGATTGATTCCTCTAACCCACGCTCTGATGTAAATGCTCTTTGTATACCATCTTATGTAATCCATATAGTAGCCTACTAAGTAGAATCATTATCAACAAGCAGCTATTAGAATTTGAACCCGATTAACTTAGACTATTTTATAACCACTACCCATTATGTATAGCATTTTTTACATTATCTTTCCCTTAGTATTGCATTTCAATGACATTTTGTTGTAACAATATATTTTGAATCATACTGTTAGAACATTGGGATGTTTCAAAATTCTAGCTGGTAGGTTGGTCACTTTTTGATAAAGGTATAGCATCTATTTCCTTCAGAAACTGAAAATATTTTTGTAGTTATATATTTTATAGCTGATATAATAACATCTGGATAGCCATTTGTAGTCAGTATATTTGCAGCAATGAGTATAGTACTTAGCCGTTTGGACCCCTTATCATATTGAAGCTCTTTTCTCTGTGGACAAGTGGGAATGCATGTTCTCCTTTGACACAGAAGTCTTTGTTTCGTTTTATCATTTTCAGAGGGAAAAGAGCCTTATTAATACCTTTGAGTTGTGTTGTTTATCTTGTAATTTGACTTAGAAAGGTACCTACTTTTATACTCACAGAATCCAAGGGTAACCCTGATGTCACAAATATGAGTATACTGTATTCTGTAGTAGATATATATTTTAAAATGAATATTTATAAATTCATCTGTAAATTTGCACAGCTCCCATTTTTAAAGTGAGCAATACTGCAGTGCTAACAGATCTGCTTGAACTCGCCAATCATCTGCCTGTCCCTGTCTTAACTTACTGTCAACCCCACTGGGGCTAGCACCACTCTTGCCAAAATATGCTACCACCAGAGCCAAAGGCATCACTGCAGGTAAAGACAGCAAACCTGTAAGTATTTGTGCCCGCAGAGCTCAGGCAACAGTAAAGGTGCTGGAATGTGTTTTTATGCCTATGGTGGGCTGATCCTGTAGTGTCAGCAGCTCCAGAGATGCTTTTGGCACTGGTTGTGATAGTAATCCCCTTGGTACAAGAGGCACCATCAGCAGTAGTGTTATATACATTGTGTTGTAGCAGGTTTGGCTGATGGAGTGAGGTTAATGGTTCAGATACTTCTAGCAAACTGTAAGCTCTCCAAAGCCAGGGACTGTGTCCTTTTCCTTATCTCTGCATCTCTAACCAGCGAAGCCAGGAGTAGAGGCTGAGAATTTATTAAACAAACGAGAGAAGTAGCACTCCTTGAAGCAGTAAACTGCCTTGGCTTGGGATGTAGCCCAAGAGAAGATGATCTAAATGTAGAAAAGTTTTCATTGCATAGCTGACCCAGGTCCAGAGAGACATGCATCTGTGAAGTAGTGCATTCTTCCTGCAGTGATAGCCTTTGTGAGAGCTACGGGAAAAGGGTATGGAGTAGGGAATGGGAAAGCAACTTAACCATAAATTGTATACTGAGCCCAATGCAGAGCTCATTCACAGGGCTGCATGGACTTGTATGTTCTAATCTTGGATTATTGAGAATCAGGTTGCGATCATGACCTCTTCTATGATTACTTACATAATTCTAGATGAATCTACCTCCATGGACTCTAGTAGTGCTAAATGTCAAAAATAATGACCATATTTAGGATTAGAAATATGCAACTATGGCAAAAATATTAATGCTAAAGAATGGATCAAATTGGATATACTTTTCTAGAATATTGTGGTCGTGTAAATTGCAAATTACAACCCAGAATAAAATGAGTTTCTTGCTAATCTCTTCTACTAGTAGTTTCTAAACTGTAATATGTATTTAAATCACTTGGGGATTTTGTTAAAATCCAGATTCTGAGTTTGTATTTCTTACCAGCTCTAGATTACAAAGTTTGATTCTCAAAATTTGCTTCACGTTAGAATCATAAAAATACTGAGGAATTTTAAGAGATACTGATGGCTGTGTCACAATCCTAGAGATTCTGATTTAATTGACTGCGGATGTGACCTGAGCATGAGAATTTGTAAAAATTCTCTAAGAGATTATGCAGTGTGCAACTAAATTGGAGAATTGATGTTCTAGGACTGGTTTCAATTTGCTACTTGAGAAAAACTAATCATTTTAGGCTTCTAATCTTACTTTCTTTTTATTTACAGGTTGCAGCAATCTACAAAGATTCAAGTATTGGAAATCTTATAAACATAGTAATTGTAAAATTAGTTGTAATTCACAATGAGCAGGTAAGAGGCAGGCTAAAATTAGTAGTTTTATTTTGGTAGATTTTTAGTGAGATTGTAATTAGACCACAAAACTCATACTAGAAATTAAGATATTTTAGAAATTTACTTTAAAAAACTTAATTTGAAAAGGAATGATATTATGCTATTTTGTTGTGATGGAAGTAAAATGAAATGACATTAGTGTTTCATTGACCCAAGAAGATAACAAAAATGAATAAACAATTTAAAAATCTAAGTTTACAAACATCCAATTATTCACTTTACAATCCTAATGTTGAAGGATATAAATATGTAAATTTTTAAAAGTTAGTTTTTTGAGCCTAAATAATTGATGGTTACAGTGAGATCTAATTAGATTCAGTTTTGATCACAATGTTTAGATATTGCAAAAATACTTTAAAGTAAATCTGTGAAGGAGAGGCGATGCCCTTCTTTCACTTGCCTGTGAAAATGCTGTTTGATAAATTGTATGGGTTCTGACTGGCTTGGGAGGAAAAGAGGACTTAAATGCTTTGACATTACATGGAATTTCTTATTATTTTTCATAGGAAGGACCAGTCATCAGTTTTAATGCAGCTACCACACTACGCAACTTTTGTTTATGGCAACAAACTCAGAATGTTCTTGATGATTCTCACCCTTCCCACCATGATACTGCTGTTCTTATCACTAGGTACAGTTTTAGAAATAACCTTTCCAACTATAACTCCTTACTCTTTCTCTCTGTGTCCTGTACGATGACTGATACTTATTGTTACCTTAATTCTCTATCAGTAATACATGGAAGTGTTAAATGCAAACATTTACTGAATGAAAGGATTTATCTGTTTCTTCAGACTATAACATGAGGTAGATCCTTTGGAAATTAGCAATGTCAGATTTCTGAGTAATGGTTTGAGCTAAACAAAATAATTTTCTTATTATATTAGTGACAAAATGAGAGATTTAGGAGTAATTCCTAGAACCTGACATAGAACTGAGAGTAGAGTTTGTTCATTCCCTTCTTGGTGTTTCAGTTGTCTGAAAAATAAAAAAAGAGCATCTGAATTCATTTGATTGCCCACTTTTTGGACTCCATGTACTTTTTAAATATGTCTGTCATCTGTCTAACAATCTGTCTATCCATCCATCCATCATCTATGTATTATCTATTTATCTATCTATCTATCTATCTATCTCTATCTATCTATTCCTTTTTTGATGCTCAATGCATGTCATAATTACCTGGCTGCCTTTTCTAGGGTTGTTCACAATTCTGTTTATTTATGTGAAAATAACTGTTACTATAAAATTATTTCCATTTTATAAGGACTGCTATACAGTGCTAATTTACAATTTGTTTTGCAACACTGATACTATGAGGATATGTAGATCCTAGGTTTGTTATTGGATTGATTGGTTGGTTTAGCAAATAATCATTAGTTGGGAGTAAACCTCAAGGAAATATCAGCTTTATAGAACCTTGAAATAAAAAAAATTTTAGCTCTTGTAAAATAGCTGACATGTTGCCTATGTACTTTATCTGTTTTTAAGTCTAAAACAGAATTGCCTTAATGTATACACATTACTCTATCATAGCCCATGGTTTTGTCCTGAATTATAGTTAGAGATCAAGTACCAAAGATTGGGGTTAACTGATTTACGAAGGAGGGGAAAAGCCATGAGAAAAGAACATAGAAAATAGACAAGAGAACTGTGAAATTGATTGGACAGGGACTAAATACAGTGTAATGCAGAAGCGAACAACTGAAGCAACTTGCTAACATCTGAGAGGATCGTTGTTTAACATAGTAACTGAAGCTCATGACAGCATTGAATTACTCAAAAGAAGATGAGCAGTGTTATATATTCTGTGTAAAGGCAGAGAGGGAAAACATACACTTAGAAAAGTTGTCTTTGAACTTGGATAAAATTTCAACTATTTTCCAGTCTTACTGCTATAGAGCACCTTTTGCTTATGCACAAAGGGTGCATTACTCTAGGTTTTTGAAGTTAGTTGTGATAGTATTCATGTTTTAGTTAATCCTTCTTTATTATCGTTTTGGGTTGTTGCAAAAATACTTCTGAAGACATTTCAAAGTAAATCTTTTATTTTAAGGGAAGACATTTGTGGAGCTAGAGAGAAATGTGACACATTAGGTAAGTTATTTTATGTCAATTAAATTTAGCTCTTAATTGTTTATTGAATTCTTTAAAATGATATGTTGTTTTTCTTCTGACACTAATCATTTTAATTGATTATCTTGGTAAATTACTACACAGTACACATCAGTGTTATTTGATTCTGTCTCTGTAGACTTTATAGAATACAAGAACTAATATTTATTTGTCCGTTACTAAATATCAAATGTTATGCAATATGACATTTAATTTAAAGTGTTTGATTAGGTAATGTTTGATTGATGAGAAATAATATATAACCTTTATTAAAGCAAAATAATAAAATGAATCCTATGAATCTACATCCAGAATCCAGATTTAAGAGTTAGAACTCGTTGCTGCTATTGTGCTCCATCCTTATTCTATTTCTCTGCTTTTTCTGAAGAGCCAATACTGTGAATTTTATTCTTGTCAATTCTTTTCATCTTTTAAAAAGTAATATTTTTATATATTATATGCATGTGTTTATAAACAGGAAATTATTTATTTTTGTTTCTTTTTGAATTTTATAATTGAAACTTTTGAGTGCTTACATGACATTTAAAAAGTTTCAGATTTTAGCCAGGTGTGTTAGCACACACTATAACCCCAGCACTCCGGAGGCTGAGGCGGGAGATGGGCATGGTTTGAGGCCAGCCTGAACTACATAGCGAGATCTTGTGTCAAAAGCGAAACAAAACAAAACACAAAATCCTTCAGAGTTTAAAGCAGTTTTAGAGTTTGGATTTTCAGATTAGGGATGCTGAACTGGTAAGTTCTATATAAATATGCCAAAATTCAAAAATTGCTGAAATCTGAAACACTGTGGTTCCAGGCATTTTAGATAAAGGATACTGATCCTGTATTCAATCGTACACAATATACCAAATTATTTTGTATAGTGGATGTACCAATGTACATCTTTCTTAATAAAGTCTAAGAGTGCATTTATTGTATCTGTGTCCTGTCCATATAGAGGACCTTCATATTTCTCATTTTGGCAGTCTAAAAACAATATATTTCATGAGAGTCCTAATTTTCGTTTTTCTGATTGACAATGAGTTTGAACATCTTTTCATATATTTTCTGTAAGGAAGGAAGTAAATAAAAGAAATATTCTACATTTTTATGTTGTGATGCTTGTTGTTTTCTTATTGCTTTTCAGATATTCTTTATCACTTCTTGATACCAAACCCTTTGTGGTTTATATGTATTAAAATATCTATTAAAAATTTGTTGCTTAGTTTTTATTCAATTGTGTATAAAAATATAATGTAGCAAAATTTATAAACCTCTTTTAGCCTCTTTGCATCTTTAAGGAACTCTTCTGTAACTCAAAGTTTAAACATCCTGTTAAATATTTTAAAATTTATCCTTTATGTTTAAATATCCAATCAAAGGAACCAACCAACTAGGGATCTAATTTTGTTAGTTCTTCTTCTATTTGGATAGGTTTTTCTCTTTCTATTTGGGCTTTCCTGAAACACACATTGAGTAATTCCTTTCCTCTTAGAAATTACAGTGTGACAGAATAAAATTTCTATGTGCATTTGAGTCTTTACATTACCCCTTCATTTCATGAGTGCATAATTTTTACTTAATTCATCCACCAATTCCGCCATTTCATTTCTATCATTAAATAATAAACCTTAGCAATTGGTCAGGATGTGCCTCCATCTTATATTCTTAAAGACTATTTTGGCTATTCTTGGACTTTTGCTCATCCATAAATATTTTTTTTTCTCAAATTCTTTTATTGGTACTTTTTAGGTATACAATACATTTACATGTATCTTTGGGTGCTTGTACCTGTACATGGTGTATCTTGGTTCTTATTTTTTCCCCATTACCTGTGCGCCCTTCACCCCTAAACCCTTCCCTATTTACATACTTCGTTTCCATTTTTTTTCTTTTCTCATAATTTTTCCTTTCCATTCTTTCCTTTCCCCTTCCCATCCCAC